AACAAACAAAATACTTGTATACTATAGTAGTAGTCCTGGAGTTTTAATATTGTTAATAAGTGATTCTATATCACTAAAAGAACATTCTCGTTGAAATTTATTTACTTATTAACATCTTAGCAAATCCTTATATTTTACTTACATTACCTGTCAGGGAGATATGTCAAAGGAAATGTGAGAGAAGCTTTAGAGAGGTTCCCTACCCCCACACTGTTTTTCCCTTGAAGCTATTATCCTAAAGGAAAAAAGAGAAATCTATGGTGTGAGTTCAGGTTTACTACTGTAAGTGTTTAAGAAATGGCCCTGTTGCCATGACAACAAATTCATGAATTTCAAGTGGAAATTTTTCAGCATATGGGACTGATAAAATTGTATCATCTCGATTCTTTTAGTATAGAATCATTGTCAACTTAAAATGAATTATAAAAACCCCATTAAAATTAATTTTAAATGTTCCTGTGATACTGTTTATTATAACTTAAAATTATACCGAAAAATATACTTACATAGATCTGTAATGCAGAAAGTTAAGCATTTGATTTAAATATTTTAAAAATTATTTTTCTGTACTATATATTTGCTTAATCTGTACTATATATTTGCTTAAATGATAAAGAAAGTGATAAATAGTTTAATGTGTTGGGAGTTTTTGACAATAGAAAATGACCTGCTACTTTACAGATTCCTATTGCTTTAAATGCTTTCTAACTTCAGTGGAGAAAAGCTGTTAAGCTTTAAGTGCTCTGTCATATTTGCAGGCTTTTATAGTAGAGGAGAACAGCAGTGAGCAATGATGATGGAAAACGATGGCAGGTAGACTTAAAACACCATAAAGCACAGACGATTGTCTGTAATGCCTTGAATTGAATCCTTTTTGAATGAAATGATCAGCCATATGTGCCACCCTTATGGACCCTGTAAGAAGAGGAGAAGAAATGTGCCCTAATGCTAACTGTGCATGAAATTGCAGTGTTAGGAGATATTGACCAGATGTTTCAATCTCAACAAATAGCTTGTTATGTGACTGAGTGAAAATATCTTTTGCTGCTTTGATCACATACACCTTGAAGGAAGGGGTAATTTAATAGAGGCTGTCATAGTTCATCATTGTCAATAAACTTTGACTTGACCTTTGCCTTATATTTTTGATGTTGTTGCTGATAGGTGTTGATGGGCCGATGTTTACTGCCTTGAGGGATTTTGCTTTTTATATCCTGTCTGCTAGAAATAGTAAAAGAGAAGGATTTTCTCATTTTTGTTGCTCTTTGGTTATTAGTTGGTATGCTTCTTTGTGAATTTTTGTAGAAAATCTGCAGTGTGCATCGCAGGGACCTTCTTACTCCAAAGTGTACAGTGATTTTTCTCAAAAAGTTTCTTACTTTAGTTACCTTTCTGTCCTAGTTTTTATTTGCTATAATACATTTCTATGATGATTGTTGGTTTATTTACAGTACTGTTTTCTGTTTCTTCATAGATGTAAGTGTTCACAGGTTCTCTTAGAAACTAACCATAATTTCCTGTCTTTTACAACTGAGGACAGTGATAGCTAGAGAAATATTTATTTATACAAGGTCACATGGTTACTTTTTCCCAAGCCATCTCTCAGAAGTCTGAGACACACTTTCCAGTACAACTTTCTTTACTGTTCTTTCTTTCATCATATATAGAGAAAGAATTGATACTGTAACTTCTAAAATCATACAGACTCTAGCTCTGCTCTCAACCTAACCTCTGTTTCTTCATCTGTGAAATTGGATAGTAAGTTAATCTACCTCTTGTTCGGTGGTTCATATAACTGAGATAACAGTAAAGGACTAGCATAATGCCCAACATATTACAAGTACTCACTAATTTAGCCTTTAACTATTATTGATGTTCCTAATTCCTCTTTGGCTAATTCTAGTGGGGTTTTTTTTTTGGGGGGGGGCTGAATCTTTGGTTTATATTTGCTTTTAATGCAACTTTTCTTTTAAGCTGACAGGGAAAGTATTTAGTGTACATGGGGAAATAATGAGCTGATTTTAGAAATCAATTTTAAGTTATGATAAATATATGGATTAATAAAAAGTCCTTTAATTCCAGAGCAATATTGGTACCATCTCCTTTGATTTAAAGTTGTTTGAGGGTTATAGGGAAGGAATTTTCTTTTACCCTCTGAGGGTCCCTGTGTGGGTCTAAAAATTTAACTGAAAAAGCATACAGATTTATTTAATATAAAATTTATTTGACAGGAGAACCTTCATAAGGAAATGAAGACCACCATAAACAGTTTGACCCAAGTATTTTATGCTACGTTTGATGACTGGCCATTCGATAAAGATACAATAGGTTGGAGAATATAAAGCAAGTTTAATAAACTGAAGGCCTTTTTGTTAGGATTTTTCTGGCATCACTTTGTATACATAGATAAAGATGTTCTCTTCCTGCAGCTATATGGAAGGGAAAGGTCAAAGTTACCTTCCTCCTTCTGCCATTTTCTCAATTTCCTTCATTCTAACATTTCATAATTTGGAGTAGTGTGTCGTGAGCCCCATCAGAGTCCTGAACCCCATCAGAGTGTCGCTGTATATATTTGCAACATCATTCCACAGTGTAAGGGAATACAACAAATTCAACTGGTATTGTGGAAAAACTATATTTAATTCTGTGAAGACATTTTCTAGAAGATTTTAAGCTTTAATTTCTCTTAAGAGATCTCTTTATATTCCAACCTAAAAGAAAGATTTCCCTGTGCATAAGCAAGAAATGAAAAGCAAAAGTAGGCATGATTTTTTAAAATCTTGAGAGAATACAGAAGTAGAATATGTACTCTCCATTTGATAGAAATCTTGTTGCTTACCCAAATGCCCAAAAATCGATGACTGGATCAAGAAGATGTGGTATATATACACAATGAAATATACACTGTTCAGCAATCAAAAAAGATTAGCTCGTGCCATTCACAGCCACATGGATGGAGCTGGAAGGGATTGTGCTCAGTGAAATAAGTCAGAAGGAAAAAGAAAAATATCTAATGGTTTCATTTATAGGAGGAATATAGGAGAACCAAATAAGGGATTAGGGAGAATAATAATAATAATAATAAATAAAAAAGGAAATTAGCAGGCAACTATATATCAGAGACATGCTGCAAAGGATGGGGAGGCAGAGGGATCAAAATGGGAGGGAAGAACACAAGGGACTATGGTAATAGTTCACAGCGGAATTGGTGGTGGGAATTTTACAGGGAATATATCTGAGAGGAGAAAGCATACAAGCATACACTGTACAAAAATGAACAATGATATAATATATATAAATATTAAAAAATGTTAAATAAGAAGATATAAACATAAAAAAAATAAAAAGTCAAAAATGTAAAAAAAAAGATATCTTATTGCTTAAAGACTTCTGGTGAAAGTCAGATTGAATAAAAATATGAAGTCTGATAAAACGCACTGTATACAGGGCCTGTTACTTTTATCACCAGCTTTGCAGACCTTTGGAAATAAATTAGGCCACAAATTGTTGATAAATTAATTGAGTAATGGAATCAGATAATGTAAGTTATAAAAAAAACTTAATGTATGCAGTATTGTTAAAACGAATAAATAGCCTTGGGTTAAATGGTTTTCTTGGTTAATTTGGTGCAATCCTATAAATTTGTTAGTCTTCAGCTTAAAAAAGAAAAAGGCTTCCTTACTGGCCATAGCTGTGTTCTTCCTTATATCTCCCCAACACTTTTGTATGAGAAGCTTTTAGGAACCTGGTTGAATCTGTAAGTTTTCCCCTCTGAAAAATATATTAAGATTTCCTTGCAATTTCAGGGATGTTCATGAATTTACCCTCCCATACATACCTTACCCTGATAGAGGCCCATTGACCTCAAGCAAGCAGATATAAATAAAATTCAAATTCCTTCTATTATAGCTATTTAATAATTTAGAACAGGCAGACTGACTGAAATACACTGCTGAGGTGAGCAGCGGGTGAAGCAAGAGAGGTCTGCTGTGCCATGTGGGTAGCTCCCTGGCTGTCCAGGGATCAAATGCATTCTGCAGAGGCTGCAGATAGCTTTATAGTGCTGTGCTTAACCCATTGTACCACCAGGGAAGCCTGCATCTGAACCTTTTTGTGATCCTTCTTCCTTTGAAGAATATCTATCCCCCCATGTCCTTTAATTCCTACAAGTTTTCAACTTGGACAGTTTCTAATATGGATTTCTCCCACTATTTGAAAATAGAACATTCCACTTGGTATAATTTAGTAGCTTATTTTTTGTCTCTTGGAATGCAGTTACCATTAATTCATACCAAAAAGTTTTGAGTGTTCCCAGAATCAAAAAATAACCCACCAAGTCATGCCAAATGTGAACATTCTACTTTCGTATATCGGTGATATTTTCCTTAGGAAATCATTGACCACTCCCCAAAGTCCAGTGTAGGTGCTACTCCCATGTGCTTCAGTAAATAAATAGACAGCTAGAGATAGCTATTATTTTATAATAAATAATAATGTACTTATGTCTGTAAATTTCATGTAGCCCTAAACTGTAAGCTTTATGAAGAGAGGACTATCACTTTCTTGTTCACTTATTTGACAAAGTGGAGGCAGAATACAGAATATAGCAGTACTCCTTCTGGATGTGAAAATGTACCGTTGACTCTTTCAAAGAACTCAGAAAAACAGAGTGAGAAGTTATAATAAGTAGAATCAATTTTATGATGAAATTGATAGTTTGTTGTGGCAACATGATACATGGGCATATAGACTCTAGTGTTCAGGAAACACTTGCCCAAGAATGTGAGACCCTGATACGGAAGTAGGAGGCTATGAAGAACATGAGATGATATGAACAGAATGAAGTATTCATTGCACTGGAACATTGCATTCAAGAGATTAAGAACCATAGAATAAATCTGGAGAAGCAGTTGATGGTTCAATCATAAAATTGTTTCTGTTTGAACTTTTCTTAAGAGAAATGGGTAGCTATTAAAAGACATTTTTGAAAGCTCACTTACTGTGTAGTTGATTCGAGGGAAACACAACAGAAGGTAGGTAGATGAGTTAAGAAGCTTTTGCAAATGGTTGAGGGAACAGAGAATGGGTCATGACTGCTAATCACATAGGTTTCTTTTGTGATGCAATATCCTGGACTTAGTAGTGATGGTTGCACCACCTTCAGAATATACAGGAAGCAGCTAGCTAAACATGGTAAATTTATTGTATGAGTGAGTGTATTTCAACAAAAATGTTTGTAAAGAAATCTTATAGTAGTAAAATGGAAAACAGTAGCATACACCATGGTGGTAACAATGGAGGAGATAAGAGAAAAATTGAATTGTGTAGATTTTAAGTGGGAAAAATAGGATACATAGCAATTTGAATATTTACATCCGAAATGTGGAGAGAGTTGTAAATAATCAATAAACTAGAGGTGAGGAGTCTCAATGTCTAGATGCTAATTGATTTCATGGGGCTAGATTAGATAATATCCATAAAAAAGTTTATAGAGTGAGAAGAGCAAATAATCCTTGGTCTATATCAGTGGAACTCTAGGGGCTGGGAAGAAAAGTAACTTGCAAAAAAGATAAAGTACGACAAATATTTATGGAATGAATTGAATGAAGATTTATTTAAAATTATTTTTATCATATCTCAGTGCCCTGTTTTTATCATCAGTCCTCTTTACCAGGTACTGCCTTAGGCACTTTGCTTACATTAGCATATTCAGTTCTCACAATAATTCTGCAAGAAATATAAACTCTTGATAGAGAACACGTATTTACTATCATATGACAAGATGAATATGGCTCATATTTACATACACACAGACACACACACACACAAAGTCTAAAGTTTATGGGGGTTTTTTCCTACTAGGCAAAAATTTCCCCAAATCACTTATGAAAAATAGATGTTAACAAGTATTTAAGAGCAAAAATAACAAAAGAACCGCTGTTGGAGATAATAGTAGGATTATTGGGAGTCAATTTTTGTTAATAGGGTGCTTGACAACAAGTGAAATGGAGCAATTTTGACAGGAAAGGAAGATTAACTACTAGTTATCGAGGGAGAGTGAATTTTCAAAATATTTATGAAGATTTTGTTTTACTCCATTTCTCCTGGTAGCATAACAATCATATGAGAGAATCAATCTTTTAAACTATGTGATATATACTATTTTCCTAACCAACCTACTTCGGTTTTGATTTCCTCATCACCCTTTGCAATCAGCTTGTTCCTGTTACTTCCCAGCTTTGACATTTAATTTCTTTTAGTTGTGCTTTATGGTTTTCCTGATATGCCTCACTGGGTTTTCTGGTACAAGATTTCTCTATCTTTGACTTATCCTGTGACTATTTTAGTATGTATGTGTCGTTCTTCATCATTTTGTTATAAATTGAATTAAAGTACATCACATTTTCTTAAAAGTGACTGGCTCTTGAGCATCATTGTCAGTTATATTATTTAAATATTTTACTTTGGTAACAAAGAAAAAGTTTATTTGGAAGGTGATGTTAACATGAATAGAAATCTTTCCATAGGTTGTTAAAGATTTGATATCAAGCTTAATGTCATTTATTCAGACCCTGTTAAAATTCAGTAATAAAATTTCTCTTCTTTCTCTCTTATCTTAATGAGACATCTCTTATCTCCTTTCCTTAGAAATCTCCGTGTGTACCGTTTACCTACAGAATGCTGTCTAAACTTAAGATGACACTTAATGATCTGGTCTATATTTTGTCCCATTAGTCTCGTTCCTTCTATATAGCAGCTGTGTTACTATACTCCTCATAGTCCTTTATTTCTCGTTTTCATTGTTTTTGTTAATAATATACTCCTTTATTTCTCAAACTATGCTGAGGCCCCTTGGGTGCTATAGCAAACCCACACGGAGTCCAGAGGACATTTTAAATTTTCTAAGAAAATAATGGTATCTATCAGGTACAGCATGAAGCATACTAGCTCAATATTTTAGTTTTGACATTATATTACATTTCTTTTGGTGGTATCATATATTTTTGCAAAACTGGGGTTTTGGATGGTCTCTGTGATTTAAAATAAAACAAGTGCTACCTAAAAATCATTTTGAAACTGAGAATAGTGGGTTGGTAACCAGTCACATTCTATGGTTTGAGAATTTTTACTGCAAGCCAGATGCTAAATTGTTGGAAAATAAATACTTAGTTTAGAACTAACTACTTAATAAATGAAATTATTTATTGCTTAAGGAACGATAGTAAAATTCTTAAGCGAGGAAGTAGGCATATGCTCTATGCCTTTCTTTTCTTCCAGCTCATAGCCATTTTTTTAAATTATACTTACTCTTCCAAGACCAGTTGATAACATCACCCATTTCTGGAAGCCTTTTCTGAGGCTGTCATTAATCTTTCTCTTGGGTTTTTTCTGGTAACATTTTGCTTTTACTCTTGCTTTTCTAATTGAATTCACATATTTATTAAAGTTACCAAAAATGACGGTAGCTTTCTTGTTCTCCATTTAAGGACAGGTTTTTACAGTATGGTTAGAACACTTTCACACTTTATAAGTTAGAAGTATTGGAGTGTAGCAGTGTTGGATTCCTCACATTGACTTACCTCCCAACCTTTGACTTTTCTAGTTCTAGTTTTCTTTATAACATTGACTATAGCATCCACTCTTTGCCATCTTTAAAAATTCCTGTTAAGGGCCTCCCCTGGTGGCGCAGGCTGTTGAGCACCATGCTGTGAAGCTGTCCACAGCCTCTGCATTGCCAGTTCGACAGTTCGATTCCAGCTGGTGGGCGAGGGTCCCACATGGCGAGCAGACCTCTCCTGTCTCGCCCGCTGCTCCCCTCAGCAGTGTGTTTCATCAGTCTGCCTGTTCTGTTCCCCACTCTGTCTTTGGTGAATCCTCTCACCCTCTTGCGTATCTGGTGTGTACCCCGGTTCTTGTATAAATAAATCTTTTTTAAAAATTCCTGTTAAGGTTTTTATTGCAATTATATTGAATCTATGAATCAATTTGAGAATTGCTATCTTAAAATATTGAGCTTTCTAATCCATGCACATAGTATAACACTCCATCTATAATTTTTCTCAGCAAACTTTTTTATTTTATTGAGGTAACATTTGCAAACTTCTGTAGTGTTCTATGTATAGGTGTTCCACATGCTGTCTTAAATTAGTCCCTATATGTTTCATTTTTTTAGGCTGTTGTAAATAACACTTCTTAAGTTCAATTTTCAACTGTTTTTTGATGGTATATAGAATTACATTAGATTTTAGTAAATATTTTTTTAAATTATTTTCTTACATCAATGTTAATTTTTCCACAGTTTGATTTCACTCCTCAGGTGTTATCCTTGTAGTTCTCCCACCACCACACCACCTGTGATACATCACCATAGTCCCTTGTGCTCTCCCTCCCTGTTTTGACCCCTCTCCCTCTACCTCACATGTTATATGCCTCGGGAATATGGTCAGCTTGCAAGTTTTGTCTTTTTCCTGACCTTTTGTTCAGTTTCTCTTCCACATATAACTGAAACCATCCAATATTTATCTTTTTCCTTCTGACTTATTTTGTTTTTAGCATAATCCCTTAGATTTTTATATATTGCCTTTGAATCCTGAGACCTTCACAAACATAGTTTATATTTAAGAGCATTTGTATAGATTTTTATGATTTCATTTATTTCTTAAGTATGCACGGATTGGTATCCAACCAAAGCCTCAAGAGTTACTGTGGATGAATTTCAGCTCATTCCTCCTTGAAACTTTTTTTTTTTCTTTTCAATTTCTGCTTTCCTGTCTTGGACACATATCTCTGTCCCCTGATTTCAGTGAGAATGCCAAGCTGTCTTTGACTCTTTCTTCCTTACACCATGCTATTAGAATTGCTTTTTGGCCAAGAGCCTGCATGATATCAAAACTCACTCTATCAGAGATCACCATCTTACTCTGACTGTTGTCCAGAGTCTGAGAACTCTATATTTGCTTCCTTTTGGTTTTCTTTTCTAGTTATTCATAGCAGGAAGTTAATTCTGGGCCCTGCTGCTCCCTCAAGGCCAGAGTGGAAGTTAAAGATAGGTGTTTAAGGATATACTATACATATATTATCAAAGAGAAGCTGAGCAATTTTTTTTTAGCTTAAAAGAAGCAGCATAATCAAAGATTGTGAACAAGATTGAATCTCTTTCCTAGAGAATCTGAAAATGTAGTGGTTGTGATTTTGTATTAGGGACACTTATTTTCAACTTTTTGCTTAGTAGACATGAATTAGTAGGATGAAAGGAAATAGATTGGTTGCGTGTTGGTACATTGTGTTTGAGATAAAGTTAGATGTATACTAAAGAACTGACAGTCCTCTTAGCAGATACATTTACGAGTCTCTCAATTTTGAACATCAGTTTTGACTTTGATTTTAACATCTTTACTTAGCTTATGTGCTTTGGGGCAGTAAACATGTCTTCTTTTTTTGTTTATCTTCTTTAGTTTACTAAACTCTCACTTTAGATTGACTAACTCTTGAGTAGATATCACTGATCTGTAGTAAAGTTCTCATATTTAGTCAATCCTTGCTATGCTGATATCAGAAATAGCTAGAATGTTAGCAAGTTTCCTATGATAAAATACCCAGTTGTGGGTATGATGAATATGATGAATATTTTTATATTTGTCCATTTTTTGCCTTCTAGATCCAAGTAATACTGATTTATAATAGAGAATTCAATTAATTTAAATCCTAATTATGGAAGGTTACAAGTCAGATTTAAGTTTGGTAGTAAGTTTAATAGCCCTTTTTTCAGATTATGCTTTAAACTTGTAAACTTTTATCATAATTAGTTTGAAATACATTATAATGACTTCATTTTAATTGAGTGAAATTTCATATTACTTTAATAGCATATTAATTTATTTAAGTAATCATAGTAAAGTTTGCAATTAACTTTGTTTTTTATATTTTACATAAAGCAGATATGGTTGATCATTTAACATTGATTTTTATATTAATAGAAGTAAATTATTAAACAATACATTGATATTTTCTGTTGTTTAATTTATATTTTCCCTGAGCATGGCTTAAAGATTTAAAAGTCTAATGGGGGCCTCCCCTGGTGGCACAGAGGTTGAGCGCTGGACTGCAAAGCTGCCCACAGCCTCTGCAGCACTGGTTCGATCCCCGTTCACCGGCAAGGGTCCCACATGGCGCAACAGACCTCACCTGCCGCCCGCTGCTCCCCTCAGCAGTGTATTTTGTCAGTCTGCCTGTTCTGTTCCCCACTCTGGCTCTGGTGAATTCTCTCACGCTCCCGTGAATTTATACCCAGTGCTTGTATAAATAAATAAATAAAACCTTTTAAAAAATGCTGTATGATAAATAAACAAACAAACAAACAAACAAATAAATAAATATCTAATGGGCATCAATACTGATGCAATTTAAGATATTAATTGATTTGTGTGATATATTCACACAAATTGGTAGTATCAAATATTGAATAGGTTAATTTAAGATTGTCATTCTTTAAATGGAATGATTGATTTTGTTATTTATGTTTCTAACATACAGGAGAGTAAAAAGAATAGTAAAATGAACTTTATGCCCTTCACAAAGATCTAATTGTTAACATTTCAGCACATTTGCTTTATCTTTGTTTATATAAATAAATGTATACAGGTATATATGTGAAGTATTTATCCCTATTCAAGAAATTTTAAAATAATAGAATACAATTTTTTTTAAAGATTTGTTTATTTATTTATTTATTTATTTATTTATTTTGTTTCTACAAACACTGGGTATAGTCAGAAGTGCGGAAGGGTGAGAGAATTCACCAGAGCCAGAGCGGGGAGCAGAGCAGGCAGAAGGACCGAAGTACACTGCTGAGGGGAGCAGCGGGCGGCAGGAGAGGTCTGCGCGCCATGCGGGACCCTCCTCCCGTGTCCGGGGAGCAGCCGGGATCGAACCGGCGCCGCAGAGGCTGCGGGCAGCTTCACAACCCAGCGCTCAACCTCTGCGCCACCGGGGAGGCCCTAGAATACAATTTTTGATGTATAACAGAAATTACAATTTCATAGTTATTCTATTGTAATAGTGTCCTGTATAACTTTATGATTTTACTCTCAATCTAAAACCAAATAAAGGATCACCTGTGCTTGTTATATTTCTGTAGTTGACTTTGACAGTTCTTTCCACACTTTTTTCTTTTTAACGTGTGTAGTGGGAGGGTCTTCAATGAGGACTGGAAAACCTGACAAATTGTAAAAGAGCTTTAACACCATTTTTCCTGTAGGGGTCTTTCAGGGCATTTTCTTTTTTAAGAGTCCCTAATGTATTGGTAATGCTAGGTTTGACCATTTGGTTAAGATGATATCCCTTATTTCTTTCTTGGAATCGTCCATATTTGGAAGTTAAATACTTTTGGGGGCTTGAAAGGGTTGTTTCTTATATAGTATATTTTAAAAGTTATTAGCATTATTTTTTTCTATGTGGCATGGTTACAGTTTGATACTTTATTCTTCATTTCTGTTCTATATAAAAATTTTTAAAAGGTTTTATTTATTTTTTCATAGAAGAACTGGGGTATAGGCCAGAGGTAGGGAGAGAGAGGATTCACCAGAGACAGAGTGGGAAGCAGAACAGGCAGATCCAGTGAAATAATACACTGCTAAGGGGAGCAGCAGGCGAAACAGGAGAGGTGTGCTGCAGCACATGGGTTAGCTACCTGGTTGCTGTGGTGGGCCATTACAGTGGTAGCTCTGAGACTTAACCCCTAGGCCACGAGGGAGGTCCCTGTTCTATATAAATTTATCATGCTTTTTCTCATTGAATTTTACTTTCAAAAGTATAAAAGTTTAATTTTGTAAAAGTCAACTATGCCTCCAGTCTCTTCTCACTCAACATCATAGAAAACTATTCTCTTTAGTTTCTGGTTAATTCTTATGTCTTTCTTTTTATAAATTAAGAATATATAAAACTATCAACTCTAAAAGAATATCTGTATAAACTTAATGACTATTCTTAATTTTTATTGTTTCTTAAAGTATACTTTAAGAAATTTAAAGTATATTCAAATTTGTCTTTGCCTCCCCCACCCCATTCTTTTTCTGTTTTGTTTTGTTTTGTTTTTTGTTTTTTTTTTTTGTTTGTTTTTTGTTTTGTGGGACCCTCGCAGGTGGTGGCGGTGGCGGGCGAACGTGCTGGCGCTGCAGAGGCTGCGGGCAGCCTCGCAGCCCAGCGCTCAACCGCTGCGCCACCAGGGGAGGCCCTCTTTTTCTGTTTTTAACTTCACAAAATATCGTGAAATATTACATGTGGATTGATTATTCTATAAAGCTTTTCTTTGTCCTTTTTAAATTGCTATGTGATGTTCCATTGATTGGCTCTCTCATAATTTATTCAACAGTCTTTTATGGATGGACTTTTAGACTGTTTCCAACATTTTGACATTGCCAATAATGTCTCCAAGAATATTTATGCATATGTTGTTGTATATTTGCGTACATGTATCTTCATAAGTCCCAACAATCAAGGAGGATTGCTACATAATCAGGCAGTTACCCTATCTTAATATTATGATTTTCTTTGTTACTTTTTGTCTCCTTTATCCTTTTAATTCTTAAAATACATGCATTCCTTGTACACCAAATACTTGAAAATGTGATAAAATTTTAATGTTTTTTGATTTTGTAAATTGAGTATTTTTGCTAACTATAAATGTTAGAATCAAAATAGGTGGTGGCTTTCGAATAGCTAATGGAAGTGTTACTAAACCTCAGGAATTTGAGCTAATTGTGAAAGAAAACAGTGAAAAGTGTGCTTTTTTGAAAATCCACTGCTATTAATTTAGACTAAAGAAATTAATGTTTATGAGATTGATGAAAATATGAGACGTTAGAATTAGAATTTTAACACTTTCTGAATTGTTAAAACAATTTATTAAACATGAGCATAGTTTAACTTAATTTGTATGTGAATTACTATAGGTATGACAACAATAGGTGACAACTACAGCTTGTACCATATTGTGTGCTGAGCACTATGCTAAGCAGTGTATGTATATTAACAAGTTATTTAATTTTCGATGATCTTATGAGGTGTATTTGTAATTTCTCATCCCCCAATATATAATCAAGTAAGTTGAGGAATAGAAATATTAAGTGACATTTTCTTCTTCACAGTTGAAAGTGGTAGAGGCAAGTCTTGAACCCTGAGTGTCCTCAATATATAATATACTTAAATTAGAGCCTGGATTTTTAATGACCATGCTATACTGCTTTTTATTTTCCCGTATAAAGCCAGCATTGACCTAAGGTCTATTGAATTTAGATTCTGAGTTCTTAACCTCTGCATTCTATTTCTTCTCCCCAAAGCAGTATAAGAAGACTTTATATGTTTGTTATATTAAATTTACTATCATAAAGTGATATTATAGGATTGAAATTTCCTCATAACAGTCTAAATTTCTATCACAGCCATCTCTTTTGTGCCACTGTCCATGACAGAACACTGAAGTATAAGAACCATTTTTCTGACCCATTAAAATTACTTATGTCCTATTTTTCAGTGGATGATTCAGCAGCCACACAAAGCAGCAACATTTTTTGGATGCATTGGGACAGATAAATTTGGGGAGATCCTAAAGAAGAAAGCTGATGAAGCTCATGTAGATGCTTATTATTATGAGCAGAATGAACAACCAACAGGAACTTGTGCTGCATGCATCACTGGTGGCAACAGGTCAGTATAATTCCAAAGGAAGCCCTGTACCACTTAAACATTGATAAAATCTGAAATCCAATTTGAATTTGGAATTTAGCTTCATATTTACAATTGCTATTAAGGTTTAAGAAACATTTTCCTTATATCATTTTTTCCTTTTTAAAAAAATTTCCCTTTGTTGAACCTGCTGTGATCTTCATGACATATTTAAGTCAAGACTACTTTTTGTAATCAGGATCAGAGAAGAAAAACTTTTTATTCAATGTTTTCTTGCTAGTTTCTTGCCAAAATTAATATTGAATTTTTTTTATCATATCCTGACATTGGAATATTCAAAAACATACATATATTTTACATATGTACTTTTAAGACATAGAAAATACTACATTATATCCAGTCTCATGAATTATGTCATTGAAAGCATTATTGACAAATAGTCGTCTTTCCATTATTTAACAACTTCATGTTCAATGCACCACTCAAGAAAAATCCCACTGCAGTTTTATACAATTTTATTTATTTAAAAATTCTACTTTCTATGAATTCGAAATATATTTCTCAGTGCCTTCCATGCATTGGTTGTATTTGTGCTTATTGCAGGTACGTTCTTGCATTATTATCATCATTATTGCTCATCAACATATGCTTTTTTTCTCCTTTGCAAGAGAAAAACAAAATAAGTTTATTAACTATTGTTGAAACACAAAGATTCTCTCTTTTTAAATAGTAATTCACTACAATTATATTTTTTGTAGTTATAAATATTTAATCTGCCCTCCATTTTCTGTCTCATCCTTTCCCTCTTTTTTATTTGCCTCCTTTGCCTTCCTTTATTTCTGCCTTTTACTCATTTTCCCTTGCTTCATTCCCCTTTCTTACCCCCTTTATTTTTGTTTACTCCTTAACCTTTTGCAAATGTGTAGTAATTAACCTGACACTTGTCTGAGCAGTAGTCATTTAATAATTAAAATGTAATTTTCAAAATTATTTAGAGTGCCAGTTATTTTCAAACCATTCCGGTAACTTTATTTTTCATGTATAGAAGAACTATGATTTTAAGGTTTCAATAAATAAAATCATCCATTGTTCAAACATTAAGATATATTTATTGAGACCTTTCCCCTTCTCAGTTTTATGAAAACCATCTTTAATATGCAAGTGTAATTTTCCCATTAATGAGAAATGGATCAAGTTTTGCCTCTGATACTACTCACCTTTAGCAAAAAAATTTGCTAAAATGTTTTCAATGCTAAATCATTATTTCAAAAAAGTCATGGTAGTACTAGGTATCCCAAATGTCCATTGCTTAAATTGTGTCCTAATATTACAATTATGGTCATCAGTATGCTTCAGATAATACTGGCAATCAGTGACTGAAAGGTAACCCTCGCTATATAACTCATTATTCAAACTGTGGAACATCACGGATTTGATAAATTGTTTCAGATAGGACTGGTCACTCATACTTCCACTAGTCAAAATTGAGGACTTAGAAGTTTGGAGAATGCAGTATTCTTCTTAATCTAGATTCTCACTGGATTCTCTGGGTATTAAGAATTGTTGTGTTTTTCTTTTGAAGAACCTGTGTAGTTTGTTATCAAAGAGTTTTATTATCAAAATAGAGTTTAGTGGCTTATACCAGAAGTGTTTGCTTTTATAAAGTAACCACTTTTGTCAAAATTTTGCTAACATAAAAAAATGCTAAAGTCATGATTATTAACATGTTTTTAATAACGTAGGACTAATTATTTTAAAATTCATACTATAGTGATTTTGCATATTGATGCATATTACTTGTTTTCTTCATTTAATTGATTGTAATTATATGTATTCTTCAGCAAAATAGATGTGTAGAAATACATTTTGGAAGAGAACCAATTTATTGTTTTCTTAACAGAGAATCGAGTCATATTACTAAAAAAAACAAGTAATGAGATCATATGTATATGTGTATATGTATATATATGTGTATATATAGATAGATCCATAAATGTTCTCATTTAATTAGAAAAAAGAAAAAAATTATAATTTCAGGGCCATACAAAGAAGGAAAAGCATTATTATTGATTTGTATATAATCATTTTATTAAGTTTAATTTGGGGGCAATTAAAAACTCTGTGGAAAACTTAGATGCAATATCCTGCTTAGATTTTTTTATCTGCAAAATTGGATCATTTTAAAGAATCTTTGAGTATAGAAACTAATTTTAATTTATTCTGGTCCTTAAAAATACAATGGTTTGCACATTAATTCCTCATAGTAAATATTGTCTACAGTTATGTGTTTTGCAAAATCGATCTCATAGTTGGCTTTTAAATCATTGGATTAAATAGCTAATATAATATGTTGATATTTCAAAGCTGAAATTTTTAGTTGCATTATGTATATATTGCATAGCAACATAGTAGCTTTATTTCTTAACTAGATTTGACCTATAAAAATGTGGAACAGATTATCTTATCATTATAGTATCAAAGGAAAATGCCAGATTCTTAAAATGCCGGGTGGTATTTAGAAAAAGGATTGATATCGCTATCTCAAAGGCAACATAGAGATCTCAAAAAGCTCTCAAAATAAAATTTTATTTACATTTATTAAATCCAATGTGCAGCAAATTTGAATTAAATTCTAATGTAAAACCAGATTTGCAAAAAAAAATTGTTATTTTACTTTATAGCAATGCATGAGGAAGGAGTATAGTATAAGTAAAACCAACTTGCTTTTTATTTTTGTTGTCTTAGGTCCCTTGTAGCTAATCTTGCAGCTGCCAATTGTTATAAAAAGGAAAAACATCTTGATATGGAGAAAAACTGGATGTTGGTAGAAAAAGCAAGAGTTTATTATATTGCAGTAAGTGTTTACCTAATTTAAATTTCTAGTACATATTTACACTATAAATTATAATTGGTAGCTGGTGTACATTTTTAAATAATTATCTCTTACATATCCTGAAAATTATTTGCCTATTTCAATTCATGTGTTAAGTTCACTACTACAAATACAGAACTGAATTATGGTCACTCTATGGTAACATAATTTGTGATTTTTACATTCATATACACCCCATTTTGAGTTCAGTATACATAGATGTTTTATAACCAAGAATCAAATTTTGTATTAAAGAGTTTTTTAAGATCTTTTGAAGTAATTCTGCAAATTTGTATTTTATATTTTTAGGCTACTTGTGAATGATGCATGCACTGTGTGGGAAAATATTAGTATTGTAAATACACAGTGCAGTTTGAGCTTATTTGCCTAAAAAAACCTTAATTGCTGTTTATTCCATAGTAATTACCATGACACCTTTTAATTTAATATTTCAGAAACATTGATCGTGACAAATCTCTTAAATCTGGGAATAAGGGCAGCATGTAATTTGAATTATTAAGTGTTCTGACATAAAAATAATTGGTTAAGAATTCATTTCTAAAATAAGACTATACTAAAAATCCTGAATTAATCACTCATGAATATTTTTATTTAATATGAGTTATATGTGGTTGATCACAAATATGCAGATACCTATGAAAAATTAAAAGCATCTGATATGCATATAATATATGGTTTTGATATGCCAGCTGATGCCATTCACTACCTGAGCTCTAAAACAGCTTGTAAGATGTGTAAAAAATTGATTATCCAGTAGGATCGTGTTTATTGAAAATATAATTATTTCTTTTCAGTCCAGTGTTAATGTCTTCTACAGCATGAATATGTGTGCTGGTATAGGCCTTACAAGGTTGTTATTGAATCCTCTGTATAGCATTTCCTGCCTCTTTATAACTGTCAGGTAGTTGCTTACATTGAGAAGATTATACAGAAGAAAATCGTGTTACCTTTTCTGCCAATATGTGGGGAAACCATTCCAAAAATTAAAGTATGCCCCTCTTAATTATTTTCTGAAAATGACCTTTTCATTTAATGTCTTGGTAGTATATTTTTATAGTGTGATTCTTTAGAGGGAATTTATGTACTATTTTAAACCACCTTACTTTTGAAAGTGATTTTCAAACAGAACATGATTTGGGATTATTTGTGTTTATTACTTATATTGGCTATTCAGTATATGATGGGAAAATATTTTTAGTCAGACAATTACAATTCTCTGTATTTCAGTGTATAGTAATTAGACTTTGAATTTTGAATTAAAAATAATTATTTGACTTTTAAAATAGATCTGAAGAAAATAGAATCATATTGGATAGCTGGAACGCTTTGTATTCTTAGTGGATATTCAACACATTCTTGTTTTCTTGACAACTAAAAACATAACTTATTAAAATCTGTGAAATCTCCTTTGAAATGTAATGTTATTTTTTCAAAGATATTCTAAGTCTTTGATTCCCTTTGAACTGAAGAGCATTTGGAGTATTCTTAGCACATGTTTAAACTACAAGTTTACATTGAGCAGATATAGCTATTCTTACTGCAACAAATCACGTGGGGTTCTCCATATTTTGAGGGTCAATAGAGTTAGCAGTCTTCTCACACTGTGAGTTATTTAATTACAAAAAGTTCTTGATCTTTTGAAGAACTCAGTATATCTGTTCAACAAATTTCCATAATTAGGACATCTTTCTGCATTAAGGTAAACTAGATCTACATAATTCAGTTCTTCCTCTCACTCTTCCGTAAATTAATGATGATCATGATCATTGAAAAGATACAAAACCTTCATCATTTTTTCTGTCACATTGTACAATAAATTTACAATGCAGAGTTCAAATCAAATACTTCCTGATAAAAAGCTGAAAAGGGGTATGCATATTCCAACATTCTCCTTTGGTTTAAATAAAGTGTTAGATATATTTTGCTATTTTTTTATAGGATATAAACTCCATTTTTTTATGTTTGAATCAAATTCTTTGTTAGTACTGTGCATGATTAAGGATTACTTAATGGTTATGGTGACAGCTAATTCCATTTTTGGAAACATAAATCTCAGGGACTTTTCATCTTGGTATCATATTGGCATGTGCCTGTTTCTTCTCATATGAGAATTATTTCTTATAGTAGCCCTCTAAGGCTATTATATTTAGGAAAGCTTTATTTAAAAGATTAGGAAATTGAACCCATTAATTTTCCTAAACTCTGTATTTCCTTTTTTAAACAATACTAATGTACTATGAAAAATCAGAAAATTAACAATGTTTCATCTGCTTCTTGATTCTGGTAGTTACAGTTTTGTTTTTACATTTTAAGTGTTTAACAGTCTTTTGTATTCTGTTCTGTGGCCATTATTTTTACTGTTTTAATGTAATATTTAATTGAGTTCTTTGCTTACCACCAATTACATTTACCCATTCCTTTATGTTTTTATGCAAAAAAATGATAACTTGTTTGGTCAATATCCTGTGAAACAAAGTACTTTGTAGACATTGCTTCATTGTCTTCTAGCAGTTTTTAATGGGAAGTCTAAATCGGGATTGATTTTTTAGTTCTGTTCCCTTTTTTCTGTTTACTTTGGATTACATTTTCTCCTCTTCTTTTTTTCTTTACTTTTTCATTCGCTTTTCTTCCACTCCTCCTTCCTCCTAATCCTCTTTTCCCACCTTTGGTTTGTTTAAGGTAGAATAATAATTCATTAATTTGAGACATCTGTCTTTTTACATTTAGTGCTTTAATTTTCTCTGCCTTGATTTCACTGCCTTACACAAATTTTATATATCATGTTTCATTTTAATTCAACTTGAAATACTACCTTTTTTCCCCTTCTTTTACTCATTGTTATTTAGAAGTGTGTTGTTTATTTTCTAAATACAGAGATATTCCAAAGATCCTTCTCCTGCTGACATTAGAGATTTGCATATTCTTCCTTTCAGATTTTTGCTGTTACTTTTGAAAAAAACTTTATCAATATATAATTCATATAATTCTTCCTATATCCAACATTATACTGTTATATATTTATAGGTACTTTACCATTATTTTTGTTAAATAGTCAAAATATTTTTAGGAGATTTAAATAATAGTAAAACCATATATTTACTCATTTAATTACCATTTCCAGTGTTTTTCATTCTTTTTGGTTAGATTTTCAAATGGTTTCATTTTCCTTTTGCCTGAAGACCATTTTTTGGCATTTCATTTGTGTCTATTGGTGATGAATTCTTTCAACTTTATTTTGTTGAAAATATCTTTATTTTACTGTCATTTTTAAAGGAATTCTTGCCAGGTATGTAATTCCAGGTATTTGTGGGATGTTTTACCTTTTGTTAATTTCAAAAATACTGTGCTTGTCTTCTTGTTTGCATTGTTTTTGATGAGAAAGCTGACGTTCTTATCTTTGTTCTTCTGCGAACCCTGGCTGGTATTCAGATTTCCTGGTTTTAATCAGTTTGATTACATTGTAATTTAATGTATTCTTTTTCGTAGTTCTTATGTTTGGGCTTTGTTTAATTTCTGTGAACTGTAGTTTATAGTTTTTATTATGTTTGGAATATTTTCAGTCATTATTTCATAAAATATTTTTTGCACACCCGTGTCCCCCTTTTGGGTTTCAAAATTCCTTATATATTAGGTTACTTGAAGTTGTCTCATAGTTCAGTAATGTCATCATTTCTTTTTTGTGGATTCTTTTCTGTCTTGTGTTTCATGTTGTGTTTAGTATCTTTTGTTGTCTTCCAGTTCACTGATTTTTTTTCTGTAATATCTGAACTGTCATTAATCCCATCCAGTGTATTTTTCATCTTGTTTGTTGTGTTTTCATATGTTGAAGATTAATTGGGTTTTTTACCTCTTCTTTGTATGTATTTAAATTTTGGATATATAAAATACACTTGGAAGAAATGTTTTCATGTTTTTCCCTGTTAATATTAACATTTGCATCAATTTTGCAGTTAGTTTTGTGTAATACATTGTATTGCTCATTGAGGGTTGTGCTTTTCTGTCTCATTGTCTAGTAATTGTTAGTTGTCAAACATTGTGAATTTCAACTTTTTGTGTGCTATAAATTTTGGTAATACTATAAATCTTCATGAGGTTTATTCAGGGAGGCAATTATGTTACTTGGAGCAAGTTCAGTGCTTTTGGGCCTCACTCTTTGTGATTTGTAACGTTGAGTGTAGATTAGCTCTCATTCAATGACAGTGGTTCTTTACTAGGGAAAATTTTGTACCTCAGGGACATTCAACAATGTTTAGAGACATACTGACTGTGATTACTGAGGGTTATTTCTAGTAGGTATAGAATAAGAACATTGCTAAGTATCCTATAATACATGGGACAGCACGCCACAACAACAACGCCACAAGCAAAATATCAGTAGAACCAATGTTAAGAATTTTAGTCTAGGGCCTCCCCGGTGGCGCAGCGGTTGAGCGCTGGGTTGCGAAGCTGCCCGCAGCCTCTGCAGCGCCGGTTCGATTCCCGGCTGCTCCCCGGCCACCAGAGGAGGGTCCCACATGGTGCGCAGACCTCTCCTGCCGCCCGCTGCTCCCCTCAGCAGTGTACTTCGGTCCTTCTGCCTGCTCTGCTCCCTGCTCTGGCTCTGGTGAATTCTCTCACCCTCCCGCGCTTCTGACTGTACCCAGTGCATGTATAAACGAAACAAACGAACAAATAAATAAATAAATAAAAACATGCCTCTATAAAAAAAAAAAAGAATTTTAGTCTAAAACTAAATATTTCCTGGGCCTCCCCTGGTGGTGCAGTGGTTGAGCGCTGGGTTGCGAAGCTGCCCGCAGCCTCTGCAGCGCCGGTTCGATCCCTGGCTGCCAGGCGAGGGTCCCACATGGCATGCAGACCTCTCCTACTGCCCGCTGCTCCCCTTAGCAGTGTACTTCGGTCCTTCTGCCTGTTCTGTTCCCCACTCTGGCTCTGGTGAATTCTCTCATCCTCCCGTGCTTCTT